CTTCTCTCTTCATAAAACTCTCGGCATTATGTGATATGTTTAAGTTGTAATTTGTTCTGCCAAAGAGGTTGGTAGGTGGAAGACTTTATTATAAATGGCCTGACGTTTCGACAGGATCGTCGTCCTCAGAGGCCAGTCCACCACCACATGAGCGGAACGATGCCACTCGCTGTCAGTTGTCAGTTAGTAAGTCGTCAAGTAAGTGTCGAAACGTCAGGCCTTTTATAATAAAGTCTCTTCCACCTACCAACCTCTTTGGCAGAATAAATTACATCTTAAACAGGGTCGTAATGTGGTTTTATATAAACGGAAGGAATTATGAAGGGAAGGCAGATTTCGCGACATGACTAAACTACTTCATATCCTGCCTTGCCACGTATTTTTGAAGACTCGGAATAATAACAATCAGTGAAAAGGTGCAGACAAAGCAACATGACGTGGCAGAGACGCCACCCCCCCCCCCCTACGATCCTCTTCAACTACTTTGCCGAGCGTTGTGATGAAAGAGTATCTTGTATTGTAATGTTATGTTATGTTATACCGGACTAACCGTCCATGAATTCTTCAGCTGTAAGGGCTGGGACTGTTGATCTCGTGTCCGGATACAAATCATGCTGAAAAGAACATTTATTGAGATCATCACAGTCTTATTCGCTGCGGATGACTGGGCGTGTCCGGCGGGACTGGTTTGGCACGAACCTAAACCCGTTTTCCACCAGTTAATGAAGCGAACCAACGACAAGATTTTATCATACCTTTCGCATCAGTCGTTTCCACGACTATTGCCGGCCGCTTACCTGCTTCAACAACTAGTGAAGAAAGGGTCTGGCGCAGCGCCGAACCAATTCTGTCTGACACGCCCCTCAGCCGCTGCGAAGAAACTGTAACCTTATTTGAGCAATATCTGGCATAGATAAGTAGACCCTTCTCCATTTTCACTAATTAAGACTTGGAAACCCTTCCCCCACACTATCTCTCCATCCCTCTATGAAACAAAACAAAAAAAAAAATACAAACCTGAAAAAGATCCGATTTCCTCGGGACGAAGAATTGCAACACATCGACGACGCCTTTCGTGGTTAGTTTGTAGATTCTGAAGAAGATAATTTAGAAAAGTCTAACCGGCTGTAGCAATCCGACTGATGGACGGGAGGACTGATGAAGCGCTTGAGGCGCGCAATGTCGGGAAACCGATAGTAATGCACATCTGAAGTGATATTTTGTAATTAAAAGCTCATCCACTATCTCGCAGCTAATCGCCCATTGTCGCAATCCATGATATTTCGTGACTTGTTCTGCGAAACCTGTTTTTAATGTTGAATATGTGCGAAAAAATCGGACTTAAAGTCACACACCCTGGCTATGGTCTGACGCGAACATAGGGAAACGAGGTAGCAACTCGATTCTCGACATATCACTTCACTTAAATACTATTCTTCAGTGAATAGTTTGGTGTACAAAGTTCTTCAGGACTGCCCTTCAGGAAGTACTACAACTCGACTGGATGGGGTAAAACACCTTCGCCTTTTTTAATCCGTCACTGTACTCTTGAGACCCGCTAGGAGAAAATTTGCAAAAATACGCACCACCTCATCTAAACCTCTCCAGTTCGCATTCGCCGACGCCCTCCTTATATATGCCTACCATCTTTTCTAATCGATGACCCAAAAATACTGCAACGCTCTTTAGATGCATTATGGCAGTGGTCTGTCACTTGGGGCTTGGAAATATCTGCTGAAAAAACCTATGTGCTGAAATTAGGGCCTAACCCCAACAACATAGACTTCACTCTCAATGAGATTAGAATTGAGGAGCCTTCGTTAGTCAGGGATCTCGGTATAAAGTATGACAAGGCTCTTTCTTTTGAAGACTATATAAAAAGCTCTATCCATCTAGCCAAAGCACGTTCAAATTTTATTTTGCGCGCATTTTCTATGAGGCACACAAGAACGCTCTTCCTGCTTTTTACGGCTTATGTTAGACCGCTTTTGGAGTACTGTTCACCAATTTGGTCACCATATTCTCGCTGCTTAGTAGATGAGATAGAGCAAGTACAGAGAAAGTTCACCGAGAGAATATTTGCGCGAGCGGGCATGTTCCATATCACATATGAAGATCGCCTCAGATACCTTAGCTCCACAACACTTGAGATGAGAAGGAAGGTTATAGACTTCGATGTGCTATACAAGCTTTCTAGAGGGGATGTTGACGTGGACTTTGACGAGCTGTTTAGGAGATCTTTAACTATAGGGGTGACGCGGGGACATTGCTTCAGGCTGCTTGAGGAGAAAGGCTCGTTAGATATTACACTACAGAATCTACACGGGACGTCAGTCATATCTTTTTGGAACAGCCTACCAGCCGATGTAGTTAGCTCAATGTCATCGAGATCTTTTAAGAATAAGGTCAATAAGATTCTGAGAACACAGGGCTGGTACTAGGGGGAAGGGCATTACGAAAGTGATGCATTTTAAGCGTCAGGACAGATGCAGAATGTTTTGTTGCTTTTTTTATTTCAGGAGTTGTAAGCATCTGTGCTTGAGCTCAAAAACCTTTGTTTTCATCTTCTTTTAATTCCTCGCGATTTCAAATCACTCATTGCAATTGCTTTCATATGACTGCAGTTGCTCGACTCTCGCTCTCGCTCTACTCTATGTTTGCTTGTGTATTGTCAGGCAGTATATAAATATAATGAGTTGTTATATATTGGCTTCTGTTCAATAGTATATTGTGTTTTCCCTCTTCCCCAGGGTTTGAACCACTTCTTTCTCCCCCCCCCCCCGCTTCTACACACGCACCACGTTCGGCACGATGCTAAGTGGACCTTGGTGGAGTTGACGGACCTACTAAGATGGTATCCGGAGCCGCTCTTCTCTCCTCTCGCGACTTGCAGTGTTGGTGGGTGCTCTGCACCACCAAGTGTTCCACTGCCTCCTCGTTGCCGCTCCCTTCCCCCGCTTATTCTAATCCATGTTCAGAATCTATATTTCAATGCTTTGCTTTGTTTATCATTTGTTCATTAATTGCATGCTGCCGCTTATCGGTCAATTTCAATAACTATGTTGTGTTTTGTTCTGCTTTGCTAACCGATAATAAATCATAATCATAATAGAAAATAATCTTCAGTTTTCCCAACACCACCCTTTCCCATTTTCCAGTTTCCCGAAGGAACTCGCAGGTGTTTTTCCCTAAAACTGCCATCGTACGAAAGGAGACGAGGGCTAGTGGGAAGGCGCGGGTAAGGTGATGGCACAGATTAAACGGGGAGATCGAGAGTCAACAACCAGAAATATTTTCCACATATGACCTCACACCTTCCCCTTCACCGCGAGTTGGCCTACATAATGACTTACAGCGGCGCTGACGTACAGATTTGTATTCCTGTCAAGCAAGTCTGATACCACTTAACGACCACGGAAGCTTAGAATGACTCACCGAATGGGGGGGGGGACCCATCAGGGATTTCACTTGAAGCGATGCAAATGGATGTTGTGGGAGTTTCCACCACACTACCCTTGCCTACACGGCTAGAAGTGAAACGATAGCGAAAAATCCTTCCACGTACCTGTTAATTTCATTCTCTTCCGAATTCACCCCTCGTTTATTCTGAAATCCAACAGCTCGTTGGGGTTCACTGGTAGTGTAGGTGTTAATGTAGTGCATATAGGGATATTCTTGGTTCACCTCGTAGTAACGAATTGCACAGTCTCCCTGAATTAAAATCAGCTTAAAAAGAGTGGCAAGTTGGATAATGGATAGGGCGAGAGTAGCTTTACATCTGTTAAATGAGTCCTAAATCTTCTATTCAACAGAATATGAAGCTATACATCACAGTTTGACTTCCTCGGGTGTATTAGAGACACAGTCCGCTACAGTCGTACTCGCTGCGGACGTTGAGGCGTGTTGGGGAGGGGGGGGGGGGGGAGGAGCTCGGTTTGCTGCAGCGCCAGCCCGTTCTGCACCAATTGCGATCGCTTGCCAGCTTCTACGATTAGTCGAGAAGAGGCTGGGGCCACTGCAAATCCACTCCCTACCCCTCCCCCTCTGAAATGCCTCCG